TAATTAATAAAACTTTTTGATTATTCGTTTGTCATATTTATTACTTTTCATAAAAAAATTTTAAATCAAAAAATTGCTTATATGTTTTTTGAAAAATAAAAATATACAATTTCTGGTCGTTTTTGTTTAAATATTTTAAGTAATTTTTGTTTGAATGATGTTTAAATAATAAAATAAAACACATTCAGTATACTGACGAATTTATTTCTAGTTTTATAATTAAGTTTTCCTTTGATCAATCAAGAAATGAAGCTTGAACAAATACATTTGTTACACATACATAAAAAGGCATTTTAAACGACTAGATAGGTACTATAAAATAAAAAACTTTACAGACATTCGTAAACTACCCGAATTATTCTATTAAATACTTATTACGAAATGGACATGATTTGTGTATGTTGTGTGTGTGGGTATACATCATTAAAATGCACTCCTTTGAATAAACTTAAAAATACACACATCCTTTAAATGGCACTGCCTTAATGTAGTATACAAAATGATATGAAACCAATTACCGATTGCCGTTTTCCTTATTACATATTACTGAAAAGTAAAGTATGAATAGCATTTTGTTCTGATAAAAATATACTTAAGTCCACTTCATCTTATTGTTCAAGGTCACTGATTTTAATCACTCCAACTTTAAATGGTAGAAGCAGTTCAGAATCTCATGAACTTTGGCATTGGATTGAGTACTGACAAAACCCAGCCCATTCATAGATTTCTACCCCTTAAAAACATTGGCCGTAATTGTTTACAGTTTATTTGGAGCTCCATTGCCGATTGTATAACGAGGCACATAGTTAAAGGTTGAGTCAATGTTTTCGTAATGGACAATATGAGTGAAGGCTCATGATACTCTGAAATACCTCTACTGTTGAAATTATTATAAATAACGAAATTAATGAACAATTAAAGAGACAACATTAAAAATTACACAATTTTGTCTTGGCTTGAGTACTTCAAAATGTGAATGCATATTGTAAATCATTAAAAAGTTATCGTTAGATAGCAAAAGTGATTATTACATAAATTTTACGTATTCAAAAAAAATGATTTTTGTTAATTTACAAAACTGGGAACAAAAAAATACATTTCGATTGGTATTACTTATCTAACGCTTATATGTATTTTCGTTCGCTACATAAAGCCGTATGTATAAAATACAGTTATTGTTTGTAAATTAAGATATGTAATAATGTTATTGTGTGTGATTATTTTATTCATTATACGTCACGTCAAACCTAAAATAAATTAGGGGAAACAGCTAGTGAGGATGTGAACTTTGTATCGAAAAAAATATCACAATCATTAAAAAATCACAATGCGGACGTTTATTCTTTTCCACAACCGAACTATAAACTATACACATACATGTAAAGAAAGTGTGGATTTTCCATGATGTATAAATTAACTCCCGCATTTTTCTTAAGTAAACCACAGATTATTTCGTAACAATTTTGTATATACATATTTTTGTTTCCTATACAGGTGAGTATACAGCTTAACTTTTTGGAAAGAATTGCATTTGTCTGTTTTTTGAAAAATTTTGAGTTTTGTAGTGAAAAAATTGCATTTGTTCGTTTTTTGCAAAATTTTGAGTTTTGCAGCGAAAAAATCGATTTGAGATTCTCTACATGTGAACACAGACAATCCTTCATTCACTCCCTCCCCCCACTCCTGTTTTATGCGCGCAAAATTAGAAATTAAAACTTAAGGAAAATAAACCGTATAGCTCATATCACTTTCCTTACTTAAATTACTATAATTTAGTGTAAATCAAAATAAGATTAAAAAAAAAAAGAAAAAATAAATGTGTTTGCTGTAACCTTCGTTAAAATAATAATTGAGCATTTGCAAAAAAATTAATTAAATATATGTATACGTATCACAATCTGAAGCGAGTGTTGTAATTCACACTTCGAAACCATCGACGAATTTTTTAATTTGGGGTTTCTCTGTTCTCGTGTGCCACACGTAGACTTTTGTACAATTATCGGCCAGAGGTTCCAGTTCTTCCTTCGTAGTGAATTTAACAAGAAATTCGCTTTCTTGAAACCCTTTTTGTGCAGAATACGAAAACTCGACATCGGGTTTAGACAAAATAAGATCTAAATTTATTCCAAAACCCGCCATATCGATAGCAAATCGTCTATCTGATCTCCAACCGCTCAGGAATCCCACCACTTTACCTAAAGAAGTTCCATTTTCATTTAAGCGTTTTTAAAATAAACTGCAAGTTTAATAGAATTTTTACAATTTAAATAATTTTATATTATCCTCTCTGACTACAAAAAAAAGAAAAAAATTGAAAATCTTCCCCTTCCAGCAGATAAAACGTAAGGGACATTTTAAATTTAATTTTTCTCAGCAAACAATATTCATAATTTCATAAATTAAGTACTACAACAAATAAAACAGCTTTTAAATTTTCAGTTTGTTTAGAAAAATATTCTACACATTTTGTAAGAATTGTTAGTTGTTTATGAAGATAAAGTGTTATGTAAGCAATCTTTCAAAGGTTTTAGCCCCCTTCCATCCCATGTAAGTGAAAATAAGAAAATATTAAACCTTCTCGCCCAAAAGCTGATTATAAAATACTTGAACACCCTTTTAAAAGCAATTAAGATATAAAAGTGTTTGTAAACCTATTTTAAAAAATAAACCAAGAGCAATGCTCTATTGATATTTAAAAAGTGACTTTTTCAAATTATTTCTCATTGTTTACAATTTATTGTTCTATTATTTACGCTCGTGTAAAATTTATTACACTTTGTCTTTGGTTGATAAGATTAGAATACATAAAAACAGCTTTTACTAGTAAGAAATTGGTTAAACATTGTATAATTTATGAAGCAATTTTCTTTTTTTTTTTATTAAAATTGACATCACAGAACAAGAAAAGTTAAATATATGAAAAAATTAACTGTAATAGTTCTTTAAATTTAAATGTTGAGAAAGTTAGGATAAACTAAAAACAAATATCTTGTTTTCACCTGTTTTTGGATCAAGTTCTGGTGCTTCTACGCTGTATCCACCAACTAATCCAACAGGCCAAACTCCAACTCTTTTGACTTTTTCGATCTATAAAAAATACATTAATATCGTAATAATTTAATACAATGCATACATAATTACCTCTTTAAATAATTTTACACTATATGTGTTATCATCATCCATAAAAAATACAACTCCTTTATCTTTATTTAAAACTAAATTTGTTCTTAACCACCTCAGTGCTACATTTCTTTGCTCAACACCTCTGTGCTTCTTCCATCGTGGATCCTTCAATTAAAAAAATAAGAAGTTAAGTAACTAAGTTAAATGTTGCATCCTTTGAGTGTAATTGCTTTTATATATAATACACACTTGTGCTTTCAGTTTTTCAATCGAAGGGGTTTTTGCAACTAGATGAGTATATTGATAGGTTAAATCATTCAACAAATTCTTAACAATTGTTGTTTTCTCTTCAGAATCTTCAACCACAATCCAGTGTATATTTGGTACTAAAGCTAGTGTTTGAGATATTCGTGTTAACTCAGCCTTCTGTACAGGTCGTGCATAGGTTGGGGTTATGGCATAAACTACTATTGGATCGTTGCTTTTTGTCGGAGGTATTGATGTGGCCAGTAATGCAAGCTGAATCTGCTTTTCAGACACAATCTCATTCAATTTTTCCAACTTTTCTAAAGCTATAAACAACAATCAAAAGAAATGAAGGAAATTTTATTAGTCAACTAGAACTTACCCGAATTTGTTTTTATTGATTGGTAAATCAAAAACAGAAGACAAACAGAAACAAAATACTTTAAAAACGAACGGTGTCTCATTTTTTGAGAGCTGCTGCTGTACCGTTCCATCACCAAGGTTATGAACACTTAATATGTGAATTACATGAAGAGTTTTTCGCGAAGTAAACTAACATTATTATTTAAAGATCCTTGAAAAAGGCATTTCTTGTTTTGCAGAAATATTCAAAATGTAGTAATGAAATAAAAATAGTTCTCCCCACCTCACTTCGTTATCCGCAAACCATTAAACCAGGAAACTTAGGAGTGGTTCACTTTCTCTTTGGTTGCATTCACTGGCTTTTATTGTTCATATCACTTATCACTTGAGTTTGGAAGATTATTATAATGATTACAGATATTATATATTAATTATAAAATCGTATTAAAGTTTTAGCAAAGAATAGGTACCTATTATATTGCAATCTTAACATACCACTTTTAAATACATGTCTTATCGTTAGACAACACATTTAACAACTGGAATTCTTTCAGGAAGTCGTGGTACTTATCACACTTTTTGTCATCACTAAAATGATTAAATTTAAAACGAGTCTGGTGTTATCAGACAATTTCATGATTCTGTTGTTCTTAATAAAATAGACACTCAAGGCAAACAAAAACACTTGCTAATAAAAAAACGTAAGCCACATTGAAACAAAATCGGGTTTTAACTACAGAAACGCAATAACTGTAAAAAGCAAAACATTGTTTGTTTTCATTTTAGATTTTCTATTAATCTTTATGTTTACATACATTTCTGAACATAAAACAATTACCTATTTATATCGACTTTTTATTGAATACGATCCTGCAACTTTTGAGCAATTTTGCGCCATATACAGGATGTTCATTTGTACGTTTACGTTTAAATAGTAATTAAAACCTGTATTAGATTACTTAAACTAACAAACTTAAAAACAAACGTTTAAATATAATTTAATTATAATAATAAATGAAAAGAAAAAGAAACTAACTTTCGCTATTAAATTATGACCCTTATGTTTAAACGAAACAAGTTTTCTAACATTTCGAACAATAATAAACAAAAAAGATTACCTGCAGTTCGATAAAATCGTGTAGAGGATGTTTCACTGTTATCACTGTCTATTATAGTAATAACATGCAATTTCCAATGATGGCTTCACAAATGCAAATGTAAATGACGAATTTGTTATAGCCTTGAGTTTTATATCATAGCATTGTTCTTAAATATTGTTTTATATCAAGCACTTTATTAACCATTAAATATTTTAAAATACGTAATAGTGTTCACAATGACGTATGTGTAAAGTTATAACGTAATCACATACGATAATTTATAATAAACAATTAAAACTGAAGTGATAAATAAATAAAGTATGATAATAAAAGTGAGTAAAAGTTTAAAACTTTCACTTTATTATTAATTTTTAAGGAATATGTTAATGTAAAAGGGAGAGAAGGAAACGTATAGATCCTGAGGTTCCTGTAGATAGTAAGCCAATATTTAGTGCTATGCATATGTACAGCTAATATTTAATTATTTGTCATATTTTTAGAACGCGGTGTTCGAGATACTGGATATAAATTAAATGGCAAATTTATAAAAGTACCAGAAATGATTCCTGAATTGATTGTACCTGATCTGACTGATTTTAAAGTAATTTTAAATATTATATTGTAAAATCGTTTACTGATAACATCTATTTTTTAGTTGAAGCCCTATGTTTCATACAGAGCTCCAGATATAATACAGTCAGAATTCACTGCAGAAGATTTATTTAATGTAGTATATGCTAAAAAAATTATTGGAGATTTTAAAGGAGGAAAATTAAATGAGGATGGGACTCCTAAAGAACCATCACCAGAGGAAAAGTTAACATCAGAGGAAGCAACTTTGAAAGCTCGTCAAACAGGCTCTGATATATTTTAGAAAAATGTGTGTATTGTATTATGTTGATATTTAATGTATAATTTTTGATTTAAAGTTTAAATAATACAGATAAATTTTATTAGTTTCTTGGTTTTTGTATGAATATACAGTATGTCTCAACATTTTCCTCTGCCTTTGCTTTTTAAGTGGGACAGCATGTACATACTCATTGCATGTTGATAATCAATAGCAACAAAAATTACAGAACAAATGCTAGATGGTAATTAAATTAAAATTTAAAAATGAGTGAAGGAACTGCAAGTGATTCAGTTAGTGATGCAAATTCAGAAACGCAAAGCCTATCAAAAAATGACTCAAAACAAAAAGGTAAGGTAAGGTTATGTTGTAAATTTTTGAAAATTGAAGTTTTGACACAATAATATCTTT